TTTGAGGGCGGACCATTAAAATAGGTCCATGCACCCTGCGGCGAGGGAGAGCCACTGAGAGGTTACATTTTATTAGGCATGATCTGACCATGACAAGGGGACTGAGACAAGGTCAGTCACCATCAGACCACACTCACTCTGCTCAGTGGAGAACAACAGGTCTAGCGCATGACCGCCCACGTGTGTGGGGCCGTTGACATGTTGGAACATGTTCAAGGAAGCCATGGTTTCCAAGAACTCAAGAGCTGGAATGAAAACCTCTGCCTCCACATAGATGTTGAACTCACCCAGGACCAAAAGTCTTGGGGACTCCAAAAGTGCCACGGAGACAAAGTCCACCAGCTCTGGTAAGGAAATGGCTGGGTCACGGAGAGCGCGGTAACCCAGCAAGATCCCAATACCATCCCTAGCTCCTATCAACACGTGGAGAGCCTCTAGACCCGGCTTCACCACCGAAGAGCGCCTAATAATCTCCAGAGTATTTCTATAAACATTGGCTCCTCCCCCCCCGCCCCTCCAGTCTACCCTGGTGCTGGACTGCCTAACCAGGAGGACAGGCAAGTGTCAAGGGAACTCCCCCTTCCCCGCCCATCCAAGTTTCGGTTATGCATGCCAGGTCTGTGTCCTCCTCCAGAATAAGATCTTGAATAATCTGAGATTTATTCGACACAGACCTGGCATTCAACAGCACCAGTTTTAGAATGGAGGGCCGGCTGATCTGACTACCTCAAGACTGGCAGGTGGTCACAGTGCCAGAACAGTGAAGAGCCTTCAAACATCTGTTCACCGTTCTTCTGAAACGAGTGGGAACTGCGCCAATGCCATATCTCCCTCTACCCATAATCACTCAGATGTTAGAGCCCCCACTGGGGGGGGGCAAGCCTTCCACTCCATGTCAAAAGAAAAAAAAGAAAGAACAAAGGATACATTAAATTAATACAGTAAAACAGTAATAATAACAAAATTAACAAAAAATTGATACATTAACGATAATATAGACTTAAGCAATTATACATTATCAAATTAAACAATGATCAAATTGGGCAATTTATCAAATTAAACAATTTAAATAAAATTTAAATAAAATTTCAAAATTTGAAATTAAAATTAAAGAAAAAGTAAATAAGGAAAAAATAAATCAATGGAGAAAGAAAAAACAAAACAAACAACAAGAACACACACACAAAACTTCTCCCCCTGCCCAAACCACCCCCAACCCATGCCTAGGTGTTAAATACTGCAAGGTCCAGACCCAGTTGTTATTGTCATAGGTACAGGAAACCTTGAAATAGGCCAGCGGCTGCTTAGAGTCGTTGTGGCCAAAAGCCAGGCCCGTGTTGAGTTTGCTCGACTTCCAGATCTTAAGGGCCACCCTGTCGTCATAGCTAACTGAGCATCTGCGCACAAGCATATAGGTGTCCAGTGGAAGCTCTTGGCAGACCTTGACAAATACTTTTGGATTTGTTCCACAATTAGCATGGGTGACTTTGAAGTATTTTTTTCAGTGATCACATGATGCAAAGGCTAATGTGAATCAGCTTGGCCCTTTTTGCTTTTGATTTGAAGTTTTCTTCCCCTGGTACTGCGGGCTTCTGTTTTTTACAAGCCAAAATGTTTTGACTGTGCTTTCCCAATGTCATCATTTGTTTCATTTTACAAAAAGGATGGGGTGTCTGTGACTTTGGATGATTTATTAAGCTGGGATGTGATGTTTTGGGACAGCAGGAATACCCAAGCCAATGATCTTTCTCTCTAATTGCCCCAAAGCATTTATACAGGAAAAAAACTATCAAGGTTAGTACTAAATCACCCTATCATTGCACTGACACATTAGTTTAGCGCTAGATCACTACAGTGGGGTCTTGACTTGAGAACTTAATCGGTATTGAAAGGCAGTTCTCAAGTCAAAAAGTTCTCAGGTCAAATCTGCATTTCCCATAGGAATGCATTGAAAACCATTTGATCTGTATCTGCTCTTTTCCGTCCATAGAAACTAATGGGAAGCTGCTATTCCGCCTTCGACCACTAGAGGGGGATATTTTGTTTCTTTTTTCCTGAGGTCAAGAAAGGTTCAGGGAAGGCAGGGAAAATACAGTCCAGGCAGTACCAGGCAGTCTGAAGACTGTCTCCCAATCCACTCTCTAAACGCTGGGAGGAGTGAGGAAGCAGACAGGCACCCTTTTCACTGGCCAACAGTTAACTGAAAGTTCAAATTTTGCACTTTCCCTGCCTCCCACGTGGTTTTTTTTCAGTTCTCAACTCAATTCTAAGTATGTAAGTCAAGTCAATATTTTCTTATGAGAGTGGTTCTTAAGTCAAAATGTTCTTAACTCGAGCCATTCTTAAGTCAAGACCCCACTGTACTAGTGTGATAAAAAGTGATAAAAAAGGAGAGCTGAGGATCACGAGGTGGGCGGTATCAAAGGAAGGGAGGCCATGGTCTGTGAGCACATATTGAATCACATTGGATTGAGGGCTAGAGGAGATACTGGCACCAAAATAATCCTGGGTCTTCATGTGATCACCTAAACTCAAATTAGCTGTAAAAGAGACTGTGGATCAAGCTGCTCAAAAGGCAAATCATTCCAATTTGACTTGCCAGAGTCTTTGCCCTTAGAAACACAGCTTGCGTTCTCCCATGTGGTATGTTTTCAAACAAAATTGCAGGGGGGAGGTCTTGCCACTATACTGTTGAAATCTGGTGGCACAGCTACAATGTTAGTGCTAACAGCAGTCCCACTCTGTCAGATCCGGGCAAAGGATCTGCAGGCTGTTTATTCCCCACCTATAATTGTGAGTCTGAACTTTCATCATTACAGTAGGACCCCCTTATCCACAGTATCAGAACCCACTGATTCACTTATCCACAATCTGAAAATATTTAAAATATTATAAAAAGAATCCAGAAAAAACCACAATTTTCACATGTATTACTAGAACCGGCCACTAGAGGGAGCCATTATGCTATGAATACGTGTTAGTGAAGAATACATAGTATTGCCTCTGGCGCCATCTAATGACCAATTCAGCTAATGCATTTGCAAATAAAATTTTTTAAAGTTTTTTTCCTTTTACCATGCTATATATAAAGTGTATTCGCGAAGGCTTTCACAGCCAGGATCCAACAGTTGTTGTGGGTTTTTTGGGCTCTTTGGCTGTGTTCTGAAGGTTGTTCTTCCTAACGTTTCACCAGACTTTGTGGCTGGCATCTTCAGAGGACAGCACACACTGTGTGGGCTAGAGCCAACTCTCCTCACACTATTGGCTGTGTGGGCTAGGCCCAAATCTCCTCACTATTGGCTGTGTGGGCTAGGAATTATGGGAGTTGCAGTTCAACAACATCTGGAGGGCCGCATTTTTCCACCCATGCACTAGGGGGAGAATTTTTCTTCTTTTAACCTAAGATGACTTAGGTTTAAAAAAAGGGCAGGAAAGGAGGGAGGGAGAGAAGGAACAATGGGGAAAAGAGGAAAGAAAGAAGGTAATCACTGGGGCACAGAGACCCCTCAGACAAAGGTTTGTGATGTTAAGCACAAAAAGAGAGAATAGAGAGAGAGAGAATACAATGGGCGTGGAGAGAGTTTGGAGTCTAAATCACCTTTTTAAAAAAACACATTTTAAACCAAACCAAGCACCTTTTAAACAAAGCACATTTTAAACCCACCCACCAACACTTTGTTCCAGCAAACAGACCCCCTCAGCACAAAAAGAGAGCACACACACACACACACACAGAGAGAGAGAGAGAGAGAGAGAGAGAGAGAGAGAGAGAGCAGACAATGGGGGAGAGATTTGAGTCTAAACCCCATTTTACACAAATGATTTTAAAACCAAAAAACTTTGGAGTCACATTTTAAACCCACACATTTTTAAACAAAAGAGAGGTTACAGTACACAAACCCTAGGAGACACAGAATGCAAAAATAAATACATTTTATATTTTAAAGTTACAGTCTAATTTTCACATTTAATTTAAATTTAATATTACAGCCTACTTTTCACATTTTAAATCCACATTGCAAGACCCATCAGGGCACAGAAACATACCCCTCACCCCAGCTCAAAGCCACGCTGCAGAAAACAGTACCTTACCTCCCTGCAAACACACACACGTTCGCTCCGAAGCAGAAGGAGGCAGTTCCGAAGCCTCCGATGATGACACACAATCTCTAACTGCTGGGGTGAAAGAGCTACAAAAAAGCAGCCTCGTTGCCACTTAGAAGTTAGAAATGTGAATTTCCTGTCTTTTTCCTTGCCTTTTCCTGTTCATAAGTGGAAGCTCCAGTCACAAGTCGAAGCAAAATTTTGTGACCGGAGCTGGTCATAAGTTGAAATGGTCGTAAGCAGGGATGGTCATAAGTCGAGACACCAAAAGGAGTCCACTGCTATTGTTATTGCCAGTAATTTGATTGGTAAGGACCTGATGGAATGGGATGCAGTCCATGAATGTTTATGCCAAATAAATCTTGGTGGTTTTTATGGTGCAGTAGGACTCTCTTTTTTTGCTGCAACAACACTAAAATGGCTACTCCTCCTACACAATATTTAAAGTTTCATTTTTATATCTGAAAACTTTCTTATGCTTGCATGAGACATCTTTTCACTTTAATGAAATGCCAACAAACCGTAGTCAGCTGTCCGTATCCTTGTGGCCATTCACTTTCTTTATGCAGGCTGGTAGGATAGCTTTCAATAGGGCTTCTGTCTCCATGCCGGTAAAGCTAGCAAAAGAGTATAAAGACTGCATTATTCTTTTTGGTTTCATGTGTGTGTGTGTTTGTTTGTGCATGTATCTATTACAAGCTTTTCAACTACATTTTTGATATCTTTCTCATAATAATTTTCATAATAATTTTGCAAATGTTAGAAAATGCCTCAATGCACATACTTTGAAAGAAAAATCAAGTCACTTTTCACTAAATGTCAAAGGCACACTAAGTTAATGGAAAGATCGGAAAAGGACATACTTTTTTTAAAAAAGTGACTGAAAGTCTTTCAAATATTTTATTTGAGTGCCCCAAGTGACTGTATTGCAGAGTCTTCCAGTTTGCACCTAATGACCTATATTCTCTTCCCTGACAAAAGGTGTATTAAGGGCTGTCCACACCTCTATGGATAGTCTAGGTTTTAAGATTAGCACTGGTATCTGTGCTTTTTATCTTTACAGAAATGGCGTATGATACAACCTTGAGCCTGAAAGAGATACTTTTTTGGATTACAACTGGATGGTCCCCTGACAGCATGGGCTCTGAGAATTTTATGAGTTGCAATCCAAAAGACAATTTTTCCAATTTCTGAACCATACTAGGAATGCTCTTGACTATTCTGGTAGCCACATTGTGAAGGACAGGAAGCTAGTGAACCATCCTCAGCAAAGAACAGACAAGAAGAGTCTTGCAGATGCGTAGAGGGTGAACTCATAAAAATAGAAGAGGAAGAAGTGAGGGAGGGAAAGGCGGTAGAGGTGTGCTTGGTGGAAGATATGGAAGGGGACAAAGCGGATGAGCAAGATCTGATAGTGTGGGAGAAGATTATAAAAGAATGGAGTGACGCGTGGGAATTCAGAGTGAAAACTGACAAGACAGAGAAAAGTATGAAAGACAGCGCGGTACAGACAGAAGGGGGTAATGAAGCGATTAGTAAGGTCCGTGACATATTGAGAGACTTTCCAAACCTTAAGACAGGAGGGGGATTGCTCCTGGATCCTGACTTGCCCAGAAGTGAAGGAAAGGGGGTGAAACCGCTAGAATAGATGGTTGTGGTTTACTCCCGCAACCAAGGTGGAGGGAGGAAAGTGATCCATCCCAGTCCCTTCTACAACAACCCACCTCCAGAAGGACTGGGCGAGACACCCTTGATGTGGGACAGTGTGTGCAGTGAGGAGCACCTCCTTGAGAGTGATAACCGACCACGAGCATTTTTGTCCAGCCCCAATGTGAGAAGTGATATATTTACACCAGAAATGAAGATCATGAGTTATAAAACAATCCCAGAGTTAAGCTGTTTTGATCCATTTAACCTGGTTAATTCAGAAGTCGATGTTATTAAAGTTGAAGCAGTTGGCCATTCCAAACCGTCTCCGTCTCTTATTCCCGCCAAAATGAGGGAACTATCACCAGTTTTAGAAAAACCTGATCACACACATGCAAGTGACAAGTCTGATACGTTAGGAACAGAGCTTTGAAAGTATTGGGTGGCTGCAGGGAAAACACTGGAATAGCATTTCCTCTAACAAGTGATTGGACCTTCAGTCACTTCTTCTCAGAGGTACCGTTGATTTACCTGTACCTGGGAGGCATCACAAACTGCCGGAGACTTTTTAGTACTGAAGTAAGCAGCCACAACAGGTTATTTTCCAAATACAGTACTATAACTATCAGGAACCAGTTACTTTCTAAAAATAACTTTCTAAGCTAGGAGTTATACCATACTATTCTTCCCCACAGCTAAAGACAATTTTCCTGAAGTCCTAGGACCTAGGAAGTAGGTCTGCTTAGGTTTAGCAAGGTTGCTTACTGTGACACATGCCTTCAAGTCACAGCCTTATTTCCATTTGAAAAAGTCTTCTAATGGGCGGCAATTGGATTCTTCCACCTTTGTGTTGTTCTTGTTTGTTAGTTCCAAGAAACAGAGCTGACATTATTATGCTTAATGAAGGACATGGTGGGTATGGCTGCTGGCCTACATTCCTTAGATTTTGTGTGTCATGCCTTCTGCCTAGTATGTACTGTTGCCCTTCCAGTATTACCAAAAGATTGACGTGCAACTGTAATTGTAATGAGGTAGGCAATACGCCCTTCTCCTCCCCCTCCCTTCATATTAGTGGGGATTGCAAGCTGGGACAGGCTTTCTGGATTTCCTGGTGAAATATGCCTTCTTTGTCCCATGTGCTGTTCCTGGTTAGAGACTAGAACAGCAGTTCACAAATACAAATCCCCAGATGTTTTGGATATCAACTTTCAGAAGCTCTAGCCAGCATTGTCAATAGGCAGGGATTCTAGTACAACATCTAGAGGCCCAACTTTTGAATTGCTAGCCTAGAAGCTTTATTACTGAACAGTGGAAAATAGATCTTAATGGAATGCATGAACAAGCACACACTTTTTTGTATTATTTATTATAAACACAACAATAATTGCAGATATTTCTAAAATGCATGGGATTCACTTTAGGGATATTGTATTTAATTCTCTAGATATTTATTATTGCTGTTTAAATACTGTAGCTTTTAATTCATACTGTACTTTAATGCTGGTCTGTTATGAAATGCTGTCATTGGTATATTAATTACCTAAGTGCCATCAAGTCCAAACCAACTTACAGCAACCGTGAGATATTCAAAGTGTGATTTTACCATTTCCCCCAGTGAATTTCCATGATCAAGTGGAAATTCAAGTTCTGGTCCCTAAAGTCCTAGTCTGTCATTCTATCCAGTACACTGCACTGGGCAAATTGGTGTATAGGCACTAAAATTGTGAACTGTGAATTTCTGCATAAATAAATAATAAAGGTACAAGGGATTTAGGCTGCAATCCTTTATGTCCTTCCTTGAGAAGAGGTTTCAATAATACCTTCTCTGAGCATATCTGTAGGATGGTAGATTTAATTACCAGTTGGTGTTCCTTGCTCTACTTGGCTAACATCTACTATGAAGCATAAATGTCTAATTTAAAACTGGAACTGCAATAAAACAACTTAGGCATCGAAATGATTTGTCCTGACACTGAGCTATGGGTCTTCCCCATTTCCAGTCATGATAAGTATAAGTGGGCAGGCTGCAGCATGAATAAGCTTTTAATAAAACATGTACACACAATTATATAGAGCAGCAGTGAGCTGTTACTTGGGTGTGCAGAGGTTTTAGACTGCAACTACCACAATCCCTTGCCATTGCTACATTTGGTGAAGTTGGTAGGAGGCTAAAATTTCTGGGGACTAACATATCTCTATTTTGGTCCCTATTTCTGATATTTAATACAGATACGCTTGGTCCACACCCTGGAAAAGTTATTTGTGAACTACAAATCTCAGAATTCCCCAGATAGTATGGATTCTGATAGCTGTAGTCCAAAAGCTTTGTTTATATTTCTTGTTTGCCTTTGAAATCAGTGGCAACCTAATTTCCCCCCATGTTTTGACTCCCTCTCCTTGCGATTTATAAAGGCAAGATGGCAGAGTTGTTGAGCAAGGTAGTCAAGTTTGTTTCAACTTGGATCCCAAAAATAAAAACAAAAGAGTAGGGGCAGCTTAAAGACAACTCAAGCTGCCACAATTCTTTCCTTTCCTTTCCTTTTTTTAAAATAGAAGGTATAATTATTATTTTTTGAAAAATAAGTTCTGAGATTCTATAGAAACTTAGGAGTGGGGAGGGTATTACAAGCCATCCTTTATAATGTCCTAATCGCAGTAGTCCCCAACCGTTTCTGAACCACGGACCAGTTGGGGGTGTGGAGTCATTGTGCAGGGGCGTGCATGCTCACAGATGGCCGGGCATGCTCACGGATGGGCGGGGCAAACTCACATCCACAGATGGGTGGGGCGTGCTTGTGGATGGGCGGGGTGTGGGAAGGCGGGAGATCTGTCTCTGCTGCCCAGTCCTGCCATGGCCATGGACCAGCACCAGGCTGCAGACCAGGGGTTGGGGACCCCTGTCCTTATGGATGCAGAAGATCCAAAATCTGATTCAAGCCAACAGATGATTGTTCTGTCACTATCTGAAATCTTCAGGGTAGGGGGAAAAGCCCACCCTCCAAATAATTAGTTCCATTGCTTAACTGTTCCAGTTCTTTTACATCAATAATTGGTGTTTTGTTTTTTAAAAAAGATGCTTAACAAAACTTTTAAAAATGCCTCCATTGGGCTAGCGTTTTGCTTCAAATTGGCTCCACTGTAGGCCTCACCATGAGGCATGAAAATGGTCCAAATAATAAAAAATTAAATATGGAATTGATGCAACATTCATTTCTGATTTTGACTTTTTGTATTTAAGGTGGTGTGGAGACTCCTCCATTTTTTAAAAATCACTCTTAGGAGTCTCCAGGAATAGAAGAACCATTTGTTGCCATTTTTTTCTGGTATGGAGGAACATTGAGGGGTTTTGTGAGAGCCCTGAGGCTTCAAAAATAATTTGAGGGGGGCACATCTCGTTATAGGCTGACATCGCTCACTCTTAATTTTGAATAATAAGAGTTATTATGGGTAAAATGCTCCATTGTGGGTAAAATCTCCATTTGTGTGTGAAGGATAGTGACCTCTTCTCTCCCTTTGCACAGAAACAGAACCTCCTTTCTGTTGTTGGGAAACTATATGCTATGTACCTAAAATGCAAACTTCCCAGTTTGGTTGAGGATAACAATATAATAGGTGAAGAACAAATTGGTTTTGAAGCTGACCGTTCAACACTGGATCACTGTTTTGTGCTGACTCACCTTGTAGAGAAGTATACCTCCTTTTTGGGGGACAATTTCTTTACCACTTTTATCAATCTTAAAGCCGCCTTTGACCTAGTACCACAATAACTTATGGCTCAAGTTAAGCAAAACATCTATAGATAAGCGCCTATAATTCCTTATTACAGACAAACGCTGGCTCCATGGCTTGAAAACAGGGATGAGCACTGCCCTCTAGAGTCAGACATGACTAGACAATTGTCAAGGGGAACCTTTACATTTACTAAGGTATCTTTACTCTTGTATGCCGATGATGCAGTACTGCTATCACTATCATGAATTGGGCTAAATAGGCTACTTTCTGCCTTTGGGAATTATTGCTCTGAGAATATAATAATAAGTCAAAAGTGCTGGTGTTCTCTAAAGCTCATAAACAATATAGATGGACCTTAAATGGTAATGCCATTAAGCAAGTAGCCAGCGCAAAATTATTTATTTATTTTACTTATTCATTAGATTTGTATACCACCCATCTAGAACATGTCTACTCTGGGCAGTTTACATACATGTCAGTCCCCTTGTCGTGGTCAGATCACCACCTAATAAAATGTAACCTCACAGTGGCTCTCCCCCCTCGCAGGGAGCAGGGACCTATTTCTGTGGTCCGCCCTCGAAGGCTACTGGATCCGGCTGGATTCCAGGACGTCATGAGAGGGGTCACGGCGGACCTGGCTAGCACTCCTGTCGACGCTCTGGTTGATAGCTGGTCCACCTTCGCAACCAGGGCTATAGACACGATCGCACCTAAAAACGCCCTCTCCGTCGTAGAGCTCGTCCAGCGCCCTGGTTCAACCAGGAGCTTCGAGCGCTGAAGCGACATAGGAAAAGGCTAGAGCGTAGGTGGAGAAAGAGCCCGACGGATTAAAATAGGATAGCTGTCAGGGTTGCAACTAA